TAGGTTCTCGCTGGACGGACACGGTTCGCCGACAGATTAACCAAGAAATTGACCCGTGCCGGTAAATCTCATCCCCAGGAGGGTGCTTCGCCGGACACTTGAGCTTGTGCCTCGAGGTGACATAGTCCGAGTTCATGTACTTGAGGCAAAACTGACAAATGTAAAGAATCCGGTTCCTGCTGTACTCCTCGGGATACGGCGCCGCGTACCACGTGTCGATCTCCCAGCCTCCAAACTGGATGCACTCGATCTGGCTGGCCGGGCCCGACGCCTTCTTAGACTTTTTGCTCGGCACTTCAGTCTCGGCTTGCACCTGCAGCAGCCTCTGTCTCCATTCTTCTTCGGCCTTTTGCTTTGCCTCGTCGAAGCGACGTCGGTCTTCGGGTGCCGGCATCGTTTTGGACGTGTCGGCTTCGGGTTCGGTCAAGATGCCACCATATGGTTTGCCCTTTAGCTCGTCCGTCTCCCTATCGTAGAAAGAGTAAAATGGCTGAGAGTAGCTCGTGCTAGTAAACGGAGTGGCTATTGGGACTTGGACCGCCCCAGCACCGCGAGGCCCGTCATTTCTAGATGGTCGCCTTGCCGATCTTCCCGATCTCCCCGACCTATTAGATCTATTAGGTCGTTTCTTAAGGCCCTTGGGCTTTTCAGATGAGATCCGAGCGAGTTCCACCGCATTCACGCGCATCTTGACGATGATGCTGTTCCGTGTCTTCTTCGTGACAGAAGCAGGACCGGAGCTCTGTAAAATCTTGAGCCGTAAAGATCGCGACACTGGTCTAGATGATCCTTCCCTGCCGACTGAGGCTTCCTCGTTGCTCGCCTCCTCTGTTGTTGTCCGACGCCTCTTTCGCAGGGCCATAACGTGCTCGTCAGGCTCGATCGATGATGTTTTCCGCTTTCTAAGCACGCGCGATCCGTCCATAGGATCCTCGTCGAGGACGAGTTGGTTGAAGACAGAGTGTGATTCCGGCTTGACAGCGCCCTTTTGTGACGGAAGCAGGTCCCTCGCTAGTTTTGGCGCATGTGCACGCCGGGCAGATGGAGGAGCACTGGTGTCAGTGATGCCATCCATCTCGACATCTTCTTCGTTATGGGCGTCGGATTCTGATTCAGTGTCTGCGCACTTGGGGCACTTCCAGCTCTCAGGACCTGCAGCTGTTGTCAGCACGGTTCTACACGATGTATTCGTAGACCACCTACTCGTTTCGCCATCCAATGCCTTGCTGTCACGGGCACATTGTTGGTGAGCTGCACAACTGGTTGTCAGTAGATGGCAAACAACGACTCATAGCCAGGGAGTTCACTAACCGTTGTCCTGACACCTGGTGCAAGCCAAATACACCTCAAACTCTTCTGCCGGATCGTTTTCTTCACTCTGCTTACAGAAGATGCAGTGTCCGTCATCAGTCTCATCCTCATCCTCCTCCGCTTCATCATTATTCGCGGGCTCCCACTCCTCCTCGGCACCAGCATCAGAGTCATTGTCACTGACACTGGCAGAATCCGCAGAGTGGGCACTATCCGACTCATCATCTGTCTCGCCAGGCTTGATCTTGACCGCCCCGACACCCTCATCATCTTCCTCGTCCTCGTCCTCTTCAGCATCCTCATCCCTTATTGTCCTCCCCTTGCTCCCTCGTCGCGACTGGCGACCTCTGGCAGGAACAACCTCATTATCCTCTTCCTCCTCGGCATCCTCCTCGAAAACCCCATCCTCTTCCTGCTCCGAGTCGCTGTGTTGGGCACTGCTGTGATCGTCGTGTTCCTCCCCGCCGTCGTCAGGCTCCCCATCGGCATCCATATCCATCTCCGCATCCTCGTAATGCTCACCCGCCAGACTCCCAACGTCAATCTGACTCTGAGAAGCGGCCGCACTGATATCCTCCCCCATGATCACATCCCCATCTGCGGCGAGTTCAGCCTCACGCTCTGACTGCATGACGCTCAGTTGTAGCTGCTCCTGCATGAGCTGAGCCTCGGCCATTATGATCCCGTCTCTTATTTTTCCCCCTCGGTTGATCTCAGGCTCCTGCTTCCCCTAAACAAGAGATCTCGGTGAAGCCCACACCCGCCAAGTTGTATTCACCACCCGCGGCGCATGCCAGCCAGCCAGGTCACCTCGGTCTTTTGCGTGATGATTCCGATCTTCGGCGGCTATAACACCCGGCGCATCGTTCGGGGGGAACAATCACCACCGACTGGATATCTCGCAGGGAATATATCTCGGTTTTATATGCGCCGCGCCGCGAGGCATGCAAAAACAAAAAACAAAAAAGTTGAGTTCGATTCGTGGGTCAAGGCTTTGGGGTGTTGAACGCGCGGATGAAGGTGGAATTCGGCAGGGATATGATTATTTTTGGCTTCTATGGAGACGCTCTGGGGTAGAGACGCGTGAAAATGGCAGTTGCTGGCCGTCAATGGTTGTGGATGTGGTTCTGGAGCGAGTCGAAGTTCTGCCTGGGTTGATCGCGAAAGTATTCAGGTTGCTGGCTACTGGAGTTGGACCCCCCCGGTTTGCTGCAATGCAAGGTTGCGTTTGGGCTGATTAGTCAGTGAATTTGAGGGTGGGTCTGGTGCTTGGCAGCCTTGAAGAGGTGGTCCGAGCTTTCGAGTGAATTGGTTGGGTGCCTGAGGCAAGAAAGTGAAATCATCCACTCAGAGCTTCGCCAATTGGAATTGGGGAGAGCCCCAGTCCAAGTACCGCTATCGCCGTGACGAGAGACCTGGACCTTGGGCTTTGCGCTTCGAGGTTGCGCAGTTACAGACACCACACCACCACCACATAGATTGGACAGAGGCTTCGGGTATGCTCCCTTGTTTTGTATTTGCTGTGACATTATCACTAACTCGATTGACAGGCCGCACAACCGTCACGATGCCCGTTCCCTTCGAGACTCTCATTCCCTATGTCATCATCACTGCCGTAAGAGCTCCTCGAATTCATGCGCCCACCAAACATGAGGAAGGATCATAGATGCTGATGGACGGGGGAACAGATGTTTGGCGTGACTGGTGCTGGGCTGAGCGGAATCAGACACTACGCCGGTGGCGGAAAGAAGCACAGATGGTCCCTTGATACCTGGGACAGGGTATGTTCGCCTTGTTTAGCTGGATTTTGGTTCTCGAGCTAACATGTTTCTCTTTACAACAGCAAAGTATGAAGCAATATTTCTCTACAAAGAGGTCCCGCTCTTGAACCTATACTAACGATATACGAACGCAGTGATGGACCGCGACAGACGACTTACAGGAGTCTTGCGAGGGCAAACAGACAATGCCATAGCCCCGCCAGGCTTCGAAGTCAATCAGCCTTGGAGAGTACGTGCTTCCCCAACAATCATCTTTCTCGCAAAAAGCTTACAATTTCTAGGGCGAGAAACGCTTCTCCTAATCAACAAGGATGGAGGCGGCGTAAAGAAGAAGAAGGCACTGGTGTCGAAAGAAGAGGGCGCACATATGATAGACCGCGAACGACCTCATTATCATGATCCTCTTCGACACCATGGTGGTGTACAAAATGTTAAATCTGTATCTGGGGCCGGTTCTTGTTCAGCCCCTCCAGGAGCGTGCATGCTTGGCATATCTCCTGGCTTGACATGTACCCGCAGCGCTTACACTGTCCTAGAACCTGTCGTCCTCCCTTTGATAGAGCACTGGCAGTTCTGATGGGTAGTTCCTTTTGTGTCTCCTTCTCTCCTTGCTTTGGCTTGGGTATTGTCTTTGTGACGTCGACCTCTAGCTCTGCGTACTCTTCGTTCTCCCTGAGCTGCTTATCCAAGGCGGCCATTTCACCTCCTGGAGTGCGGCCGTTCGTTGACCCGCAACCACCTATGCCCTCTTCCACAGCAGCGGCCACAGGTGCTTGCGCTTTCTGTCCTTTGCACCCGCAAAATGATGGTGACTCTCCGGGCACCAATCTTGCCATGTCCTCTCCACTTCGTACAATATCCAGGATAGCGCTTGGTCGTACTTTTTCCAGCTGCTTGATGAGACCCCGGGCGCTTCCACGGAAGGCCTCGGGACTGTAGATACACTCGGTGCTGAAGTACTCGAGCTTCTTGTGGAAGGCATACAGCACAATCTCCTTCTCGTATGCGTACTTGAGTGGCTTGCTTCTCTTCACCTCAGACCTATTGTCTCCTGTCACAATACTGGTGCTTCGCGAGAGACGCGACAGGTCCGCGCGCAGCAGGTTCATCATGACCGTCTCGGCCACATCGTCTGCATTGTGCCCGGTGACAACATGCTTGATCCCTAACATCTTTGCGCCCCTGTCGAGAGCCTGCCGTCGAAAGACACCGCAGTAGGTGCAGTTCCCCTTTTTGCCGATGGTCTGGACGACCTCGTCCATGGTCCAGTCGTATAGCTCTTTGTATCCGACTATTGTCAGGGGCATGCCGTATTGGACGGCATTGTTCTTGACTGTTTGGAGGGAGTCGTCTCGGTAGCCGGTGATGCCCTCGTCTATGCTCAGTAAGACAAGATCTAGTCCGTATCCATGTCGTTCGTTGAGTGTCTTGAGAACGGAGGCCAAGACTGTCGAATCCTTGCCACCGGAGGCTCCAATGGCAACTTTCTCTCCGGGGTAGAATAATTTGGATGATGTGATGGTGTGGTGGATTTCGTCCTCGAAAACTCTGATGAAGCACTCTCGGCAGAGCTTTGCGTGGTTCTTGGGTCGCTTGATGTATGCCCTTTCGGTCTTGCAGATGGCACATAGTGATGGCGCCATGCTGGGCTTTGTCTGGTTTCTGTTGAACTGGAAGGGTTCCTAAAGTGTTGTGCTCTAGTATTGAGTGACTAGTCCTTCAAGAACTGAATATGTGAATGTCGAACTTGAGGTATCAAACTCATACTACAAGTTCTCACTCCAACCTTGAGTCAAAGGCCCGAACTTGATGCCAAGGTCAGTCTACGGGTGGGGTGAGCCTAGATCTTCCACCAGCTGCCCCACACTTGGTTGGCGCACTGGCTCTCAGCAATCTGCCCCACTGAACCCTACTAGTGGCCCGAGCTTTTTTTCATCAATCCACAATCCTCTTTTTCTATTGCAACTCCGCCAAAATTTCTTTTCTCCAGACTTCTTCTCATCGACAAGCTCCCGGTACAGAGCCAACGCCCAACGACAAAATGGTAAGCATATTTGCTGGTTGAGACATAGGCATGGCGGTGCCATCTTCGGATGCGCACCTGCTACTGCTATCAATTCTGCGCTCGATTTATTGAGTCGCATGGATATTTCCGCCTGCTGGTCGCAAGACCGCAGGTGATGATATGGCTTGAGCTGGATCGTGGTGTTTGGCTGGGAACGCCTCTCGCCCGTCCGCTCTTTAGAGTTCTAGAAGACCACCAGTCAATGTCGAACATTAGCTGATGTCTTCTTCTCAATGATAGCCTCCCAAGTCTGGAAAGAGAACCGCCCCCGCCCCCTTCCCCCAGGGAAAGGCTGGCAAGAAGGCCCCCAAGGTTAGTCCCGTCTTCTTGATCGATCGCAACCTGTTGAACGCGCTGACACGCAGTTAGAACCCTCTCCTTGAGAAGCGTTCTCGCAACTTCGGTATCGGCCAGGACATCCAGCCCAAGCGCAACCTCTCGCGCATGGTCAAGTGGCCCGAGTACATCCGTCTCCAGCGCCAGAAGAAGATCCTCAACCTCCGCCTGAAGGTCCCCCCTGCGATCGCCCAGTTCCAGCAGGTTCTCGACAAGAACACCGCTGCCCAGGCTTTCAAGCTCCTCAACAAGTACCGCCCTGAGACCAAGGTCGAGAAGAAGGAGCGTCTCCTCAAGGAGGCCACCGCCATCAAGGAGGGCAAGAAGAAGGAGGACGTCTCCAAGAAGCCCTACGCCGTCAAGTACGGTCTCAACCACGTCGTCGGCCTCATTGAGAACAAGAAGGCTTCTCTTGTCCTCATCCCCAACGATGTCGACCCCATTGAGCTCGTCATCTTCCTCCCCGCCCTCTGCCGCAAGATGGGTGTCCCCTATGCCATCATCAAGGGCAAGGCCAGACTCGGCACTGTCGTCCACAAGAAGGTATGTTTTTTTTGTTTTTTTTTTCACCAAACTCTTTTCTGACTGCTATTTAGACCGCTGCCGTCCTCGCCCTTACCGAGGTCCGCTCCGAGGACAAGAACGAGTTCTCCAAGCTCGTCTCCGCCATCAAGGAGGGTTACCTCGAGAAGAACGAGGATGCCCGCAAGAAGTGGGGTGGTGGCATCATGGGTTACAAGGCCCAGCAGCGTATCGCCAAGCGCGAGAAGGCTCTTGCCAACGCCATCAAGGTTTAAGGAAGCATAAAAGGTCGATTGGGCGTTGTTGCACTTACGAATGGCGTACGGGACTACCAAAACCAGATCAGGGTGAAATAAACAGCCTTGCTTCCGCCAAGATGCGGATAATGAATTGTTTCTTCGGATGGGACACGAATGGATTGCTTGATACCCCCCTTAATGCGAAAGTCTTCTAAACACTGTTCACTGTGCTGGGTCCTTGGTGGTGAAGGGGGGTGAATGAGCTCCTGGTGCCGCAGATGTGGGGGATCACAGAGTTGGGTACTAGTAACGTCCCGGCTGCGACTGCTCTCGGCGGCAGGATTGGCTCAGTGTTTGGTGTTTCGAAGACTTGGCCGTGATAGCTGTGTATGTTATGCAACACCAGTGAAGGATCGACAGACCCGGGAAGAAGTATTCCATGGAACTGACCCCCGCGGGATGAACTCCGTGTCTCACCGCGTCCATCATTCTGTTTTTTTGCCGTGACATGTCCGGCTGCACGGCAGGTTCAGCCAGCCTTTCTTATTGTGCTTCGGCCAACAGTTGATAGGGATAGAGTTTCAGCGCGTTGTGTCCAATCAGTTGCTGTAGATATCTCTAGACCTCGACTAAAACTGTCACAGTTTACCCCGTCCTGTTCCCGGAAGCTTGGAGATGCTTGGAGTAATGAAGGAGCTGATGGCTGGGGAATGGATAGCTTAGACTCTTTGACTGTAGCTTCATGTTTCAACTTTGCGGGGGAGGGGGAATTGGCGATAAAGAAGGAGATGCTGTTGTTGTGCTTTGCCCATGATGGAGGAAATGGCAGAGTTTCATGTTCGATTTCAGATTTGGAGGGGAGGAGGTTAAGCTTGACAGTGCCAAGAGGGGGTCTGTTCGAACTGCTCGGGGCTTGTTTGCAACCCCCGCGGGATGGCGGAGTGAGGCTTGTCTGGCCATGGGATGGTTGCACTCAACCATTTTTTGGTCTGTGCGGCGTATCCTCTATCCCCGGATCGGTCGGTTACCTACAAGGCTGGTTTGTTGGTGAACGTGGGATGGAACTACGCTGGCGGAGAAAAGGAGGGGGAGCTGAAAGGGAGCGATGACACACTGGGAGGGATGGTTTTACTGGGGCGAACTAGGCCCACGCGTGGTACGCCCGGCCGGA